CATGAGCGGGTTCAAGCCCGATGCCATCCCCATCTACTCATCCCTTGCCGATGAGTTCGCCGTGTTCGACCGCTGGTTCGCCTCCGTGCACTACGCCAGTGACGATTCATAGGGGTGGTTTTTGAGGGTTTGTAGGGGCGGTTTGGTCAGCCGCCCCTACCGAACCATAGCTATAAATCGTTGATTTGTAGGGGCAGCTCAACATTTGTAGGGGCGGCTCGCCATTTTTCAGATATCATGAAAAAGGGCCAAAAATAGCAATTTTTTTAATATCAGGAGGCCCCCATCGGTCAAATGAAAAAATGTCAACTGCAAAGTTTCTTAATTTTTCGAAATCTATAACTTTTATTTTGGTCATTTCTCCATCCGAGGTCGTTTACAAAATTTAAATTTCAAATCGATAAACTTTAGACGTAATTATCCTTAGATGATTTCAAATGAAAAAGTTATCAACTATAAAGTTGCATAACTTTTCGAGATCTACAGCTTTCGTTTTTGTTGTTTCTCCATCCGAGGTTGTTTGAAAAATTCAAATTTCAAATTTGAGAAATTTAAACGTAGTTTTCCTTGACAAGATGATTTCAAATGAAAAAGTTGTCAACTACAAAGTTGTATAACTTTTTGGGATCTACAACTTTATTTTTGGTTGTTTCTCCATCCGAGGTTGTTTAAAAGCCACCTCTACAAGGGGCAGTTCAAGATTTGTATGGGTGGCTCAGCCATTTTTCAAAAATCACGAAAAAGGCCAAAAAAGCATTTTTTTAATATCAAGAGGCCCCACCGATCATCCACACACCACGCGCTCGTAAGCCGCAAGGCGTGCTTCGTGGCTACGGAGGTTCGAACCCATGACCTCGCCCTCGCGCGTTACCCCCTCTACCACTTACCCCACTGTCAGTTGTGTCAATAATAAATATTGTTTCTATTCATATTATATTAAACCGAAATTGAAATGAGTGTTTGTGACTCTAAATTCAAATGAAAAAGTTGTCAACCGTAAGTTTTTTTAACTTTTCGAGATCTACGACTTTTATTTTGGTCATTTCTACATCCGAGGTTGTTCGCAAAATTTAAATTTCAAATTGACAAACTTTAGACGTAATTATCCTTAGTTAGATGATTTCAAATGAAAAAGTTATCAACTATAAAGTTGCATAACTTTTCGAGATCTACAGCTTTAGGTTTGGTTGTTTCTCCATCCGAGATCGTTTAAAAATTCAAATTTCAAATTTGAGAAATTTAAACATAGTTTTCCGTAACAAAATGATTTCAAATGAAAAATTTGTCAACTACAAAGTTCTAGAACTCATCGAGATCTACAACTTTCATTTTGTCATATTTTCATGTGATATGGTTTGGACAATTCAAATTTTGAATTTCAAAAAATTACAACTTCAAACAAGATTTTGAAAACATCAAATGATTTCAGCTGAAAAAGTCATCAACAACAAAGTTGTAGAACTCATCAAGGTCTGCAACTTTTATTTTGGTTATTTCTTCATCCAACAAAGTGGTAGTATACATATTCACAAATCCATAAATCTCTCACATAGTTTATGAAACTATACGAGAGATATGTCATCTGTGAACAATGTTTACTATCACTTTATCGAATGAAGAAATGACTAAAATAAAAAGTTGTAGATCTTGATGAATTCTACAACTTTTATGTTCATGACTTTTTCAGCTGAAATCATTTGATGTTTCAAAATATCGTTTGAAGTTGTCATTTTCTGAAATTCAAAATTTGAATGGTTCACAAGAAAAGATGACCAAAATAATAGATGTAAGAAAACAGTAAATTGATAGAGCATGATTTTAGAAAATTTTAGGAAAAAAATCAATTAATTCGAAGTTAATATGAGGAGAAAAGACCGGTTACGAATTTTAGCCAGAGATTAAAAAAAAAAAAATCAGAGTTTTTAACGATTTAAAAATTGAATTTCAAATAGCATTTTGAAACATTAAATGAATTCAAATGGAAAAGTTGTAAACTACAAAGTTCTATAACTTTTCGTGATCTTCAACTTTTATTATGATCATTTCTCCATCCGCGATCGTTAAAAAATTTGAATTTTAATACTTAATTTTTAATATTCGACATCTATTTATAGGGGCGGCTGGATATAGAGCCGTTCCTACAAATAGAGCCATTTGTAGATGCGGCTGATAACACCAACCGGTCTTAGAAATGAATTTGTAGGGGCGGTTCGTTTGGGGAGCATTTGTAGGATCCCCACACTTGTGCCACCACACCGTGGCTGTCAAGGCAGCCCACGGTGGCGGGCGGGACCCGACAGCGCCGCCACGGTGTGGCTCCTATGCCACCCGCACCGGATCCCCACACTTCCTACCGCCTCACCACCACGTTGAGCCGCCCACGCCGCCGGTCAGGGCCTGACCGTGCCACCATACCTAACATTCAGCAAACTGTGGCAGCCATAGAAAATATGGCTAGCAAAATCAAAAGCCACACTTGTGACAAAATTTAGCAAGAAAATAAGTCTATGACATATGGGACATAGTGTTAAGAAAGTGTGACACGACATAGTTGTGGCAGCAAGCCAAACAACTGTAGAAAATAACTGTGGCATTCATATAGAAGTTATTACCCGGTTTGTTTTAGTTTTGGCCATCGATAATGCTTAGGAGCCGGCGTCCATCGCGCATGCTTCCTTGTGTCACCCCATCTCTCTCTCTCAAAATATCTCCCACTCCCGTGCTCGCCCATCGCATGCGGCGGCGCGTGCGCTCGCTACTCGGTTGTTGCCGTCTTCCCAGCCGTGCAACCCATCTCATGCCGCGTGACTCCCCCATCCAGCACCGTGCTCCCATCCCACACCGCGCCCCCTCTGTCGCTGCACCATGCTCCATCCTCCGCCGCACCCGCTGCAGCTCGCTACGCACTGCGCCCCACTGCTGTGCGCCGAGTGCTCTGCTGGGGTGTTGTTGAGGTGTCGCCGCCGCCGCCGTTCCCCACCAGAAGGTCATGGTCGCTGTCGACGCCGTGACGCACAACCTCAGCAAGGAGATGTTGCGATGAAAGCGTATGTTTCAAGTGTTTCAGACGTTTCAAAGGTATGTTGTAATTGTTTCATATGGATGATGCAAAAGTAGATCGGGGACGTTGCACATGTTGCTAGTGTTTCAGGGGCATGTTGCAAGTGTTTCAGAGGTGTTGTTCAAAATGTTTTATCTATTCTAGACGTATGTTGCAAGCGTTCCGATCTGGATGTTGCGTATGTTTCACACATATATTGCAAGAATATGATCCAAATGTTTTAGTCGTTTCAGTCTTATGTTGCAGTAAGTGTTTTCATGTTGCAAGTTGCAAGTGTTTTTATCTTACGTTGCATATGTTTCACATAAATATTGCAAGTGTATATTCTAGATGTTTCATCCATTTCATATGGATGTTGCATTCAAGTGTTTCGTGTTGTTCTGAGAGTCAAGGGGCGTGGTGAGTGATGGTGGCACGGCATGGCGCTGGGAAATGATGGGCGCCGCGAGCTGGGGCCAGCATACAGGGTGCACGGCGCGCTGGTGTCATGTGGATGGGGTGCCCTGTTGGCCGCCGGTTGGGGCGCGACGGGGCGGGGTGTGTTTGTGGGACAGGGCGAACAATCTTGAATCGAGGCGGACAGGGCGAGATGCGCGTGCGAGACGAGTCGTGTGGACGCGTGGGCGCTGCGACAGGATGGGTGCGTGTGCGGGGCGAGAATAAAATCAGTGCACGGGGGTAAGCCGCGCGGGCGTCCGGACTCATCCTCGCGCCCAGACGTCCGGGGGCTGGTCATTTAAGTACTATATATATATATATATATAATATATATATATATATATATAGGCGTGAACATATAATAGAACATAGAAGTCATTACCGGTTTGTTTTAGTTTGGGTCATTGGACTTCCGGGGCTGTCCTAGCCGCACGGTCCGCACAGATGATCCGCCAAGAATTTAAAGATGGGTACGTGTAGCATTACGTAGTACAGTAGTAGTAGATAAGCTGCCTCGCTCACCTCTACTCGGTCTCCTCCTGCTGCTGGCGCTTCAGAGTCAGCATTCCGCACTGCATCCACCATCCATTCGTCCGTCAACGGCGACTTTGGCCCGTTCGTGTGTCCTTAAATCTGGCTTGATTCGTTTTTTTTTTTTTCGGAACAGTGTTTTTCTCTCATAAATTTCTTCAGATTCATTCAAATTCCTCCAAACGAACGGGCCACAACAAATAACAAACTAATGGATGACGGAAGTGGTGACGACTTTCGACGACGGGTCGGCCGTTGGAGTATTCGTCCGTCAACGGCCACAACAAATAACAAACTATTGGATGACGGAAGTGGTGACGACTTTCGACGACGGGTCGGCCGTTGGAGTACAGGAAGCCGAGTAAACGAGAAATATGGGAGCTAGCCGCCGGAGGCAATGAGCTATTGGTTGGAGCAACGTATAAATTTCCGTCGAAAGATGAGGCAGGGGCAGAGCAAAACCAAACAGGAATAGCTTTGACGCAAGCAAGCAAGCAGCAGAGGCAAAGCAAAAGCAAGGTAGCAGTTTGAGTACGTACAAGCAAAGATGGGGCACCAAGAACAAGAAGTGATCCCGCTGATGACGCCGTACAAGATGGGGCAGCTCGAGCTCTCCCACCGTGTGGTGCTCGCGCCGATGACGCGGTGCCGGGCCTACGGGAGCGTGCCGCAGCCGCACGCCGCCGTGTACTACTCGCAGCGCGCCACCAGGGGCGGCCTGCTCATCACCGAGGGCACGAGTGTGTCTACCACCGCGCAGGGCTTCCCGGGGTCCCCTGGCATCTGGACGCAGGAGCAGCTCGCGGCGTGGAAGCCCATTGTCGACGCTGTCCACCGCAAGGGCGCGCTCTTCTTTTGCCAGATTGCGCACGCCGGAAGGGCCTCAACCAACGGTACGTGATCGAGCGCAAGTTTAGTATCAGCTCGTTTGAGTGATCCCGTTGCTAATCCGTTTGTGAACCACTGGCAGATTTTCAGCCAGACGGTCAAGCGCCGATCTCGAGCACGGACAAGCAGCTCCCCCCTGACGCCGAGTCTGGCACGGTGTTCTCCAAGCCACGCCGGCTGCGGACCGACGAGATCCCAGGGATCGTCGATGACTTCAGACGTGCCGCACGGAATGCGATTGAGGCCGGGTTCGACGGCGTGGAGATCCACGGAGCACATGGATTCCTCCTGGAGCAGTTCATGAAGGATGGCGCCAACGACCGCACCGACAAGTACGGTGGCAGCGTGGAGAACCGGTGCCGCTTCGTGGTTGAGATCATCGACGCTCTGGTCCATGAAGTCGGTGCGAATCGGGTTGGCATTAGGCTTTCCCCTTTCGCGGATTACATGGACTGTGCGGATTCCGACCCCTCGGCACTCGGCGACTACATGGTGCGGCAGCTCAACAAGCATGAGGGGTTTCTCTATTGCCACTTGGTAGAGCCTCGGATGTCCATCGTCGATGACCGTAGGCAGATTCCGCATAGACTCCTACCATTCAGGACGGTGTTCAATGGCACCTTCATCGTCGTTGGTGGTTATGACAGGGAGGAAGGAAACAAGGTGGTTGCCGAGGGCTACGCGGACCTCGTCGCATACGGAAGGCACTTCTTGGCCAATCCGGACCTAGCTAAGAGGTTTGAGTTAGATGCGACCCTGAACAAGTATGATCGCTCCACCTTTTACACACGAGACCCTGTCATTGGCTATACAGACTATCCTTTTCTTAGCGACGACAGCAAAGACTTACCTGCTCAAGATTAATTGTATGGATGATCGGTTTAATCACAGCTGGTGCACGAGATCGATACTACTCTATCCATTACAAAATATATGTAAGGTGCATTGTTTTTGTTTTAAGTTATTTTTTTATGTTTGACCAAATTTATAAAAAGTACAATAAACACTATAAAGACATTGCAAATGTGACTAGTTGTTCAGTGTGGAATTTGATGTTGCAAATGTCAAAATTAAAGAAGTTTTACTTATTCTTTCTATTCTTTTTTAAAAGAGTTCTGTATTGCTGTTTAGATTGCAGCAGTGAGATACAAATACAATTGCAGTGGGCAGGTTGTCCGGATACTCGCCGTTCTACCTCGGGGTTATGCTGTCTTTTTGGGCGATAATTTGGTCTCTCTGGTCTTAAAGCGCCATCACACCGTGTCTCGCTCCGGTGAAGAGGCCGAGTATAGAGCTATCGCTAATGCCGTGGCAGAAATCTCATGGCTCCGCCAATTACTTCGGAGCTTCATTTCTGTCCCCGGCGTTCCTTTGTGGTTTTTTGTGATAACGTTAGTGCAGTTTCCACTGGTTCAGACCTGCGGCAGCAGCAGCGTGCAGCCACGGCCATGCGCCCATGATTTCTCCTGTTCTCACGCAGGTTCATTGTAACCGGTCGTGTTTTGGCTCCAACCACAGGTGAAGTTCAGACAGCGGCCTCTTTTGACTTGTGGAGTTGTGGTGCGAAAAGTGCACGTCACCTACAATAGGTGATGACGCTACTACGACGTGGACATTTTACAGGGAGGATCTTCTTCGCTGATCATTCCTGAATAATTTTTTGTGTTTGTCCAACCATTGATATTTTACTACATTTCTATATATCAAAGCAGGAAGCTTTGGCCAGCTCTCAGGGTGGCCACGTCGGCCTGAATTCCCTTGCCCGTCCAATTCTGCGATCCACGGTCCGTGTTGCGTCCACCGCCCGCTAGGAAACCCTCACCGGCTCTCCCCGACCCCGACGCCCTCCTCCTCTCCGCTCTCTCTCTCTCCCTCTCTCGATCCATGCCGCCATGGCGACGGTGCATGGACCACACGGCCTAGGCGGAGCAGCTGCGGCCGCCCCCCTCCTCCCCCCCCCCCACGCCGTGCCCCCCCCCCCTCTCTCTCCACTCACTACCTCTCTCTCCCGATGCGGCCAAGGCGACGGCAACCAGTGCGCGCAGCCGGGGCGACGCGGGCCGCCGCCGCCGGCGGCACTTCCGCAGGAGGCCTGGCCACTGGCCTCTACTGGCCGGCTGCTGCGCAGGTTAAGGTTCGCTCCCTCCCTTCCTCCCCCTCCCCTTCCCTCGCCGGCACCGGGGACGGACGTCGATGTAGGCTTGTCGGATCGGTCTTCCTTGCTGGCGGACGCCCAAACCGGCGGATCTGGCGGATCCGGTGCCGCCATGGCCTGATCCGTCTGTCCTCCCGTCCGATCTGTGCAGGCAACAACCTTCCGAAGGCCATAGAGGACCGTGGGCCAACGACGGCGCTGCCCACTGCCTCCACGGCGGTGGCGCCCATCCTCCTCCTCCTCCTCCTCCTCCTCCTCCTCCTCTGCCCTCCCTCCCCTTACTCTCCCTCTCTCCCCTTCCCTCCCGAGGTGGCGGTGAGAGCGAGGCGATTGCTTTCTACACTTCGGCTGCAGTTGTCGTCAGCTCAGGGTGGCACAGTCCCACCCGCCAAGCAGGCTGCAAGCCTCCTAAGAGCACACATGGTCTTAAACATTTTGTTTGATACATTCATGTCTTGGTTCGATAAAACTCAAATTTGATTTCATACTCAAATGGTACATGTTGCTATGTTCTGGCTTCAGAGATACAGGTAGAACTACCCCTGTGTCGAGACTATAAATCAGCATTTATCTACATGTTTGAGTTGCTGTATAGAATAGTTTTCTCATTGTTCTGGAAGGCTAGGTGCACATAGACACCCTTTAGGTACTCTCTCAAATTTGAAGTCAGGTTCATGTTCCTGTTCTAATGTGTCCTTTACCATGGCATCCAGCAAAACAGAAGTGTGTGCCAATTTATGTCAGAATAGGTCCCATTTTTCTATGCTTTTCATACTGTTCTAGCTTAACATTGATTTATTATCACACTCTGCTGACAAATTAGTGAGCTAATTTTCTGTCTTACTTGCAAGGGGAACTTCACAAGCACTGGTTCAAACTGCCCTTGCAAACATAATGGAACCAAATGGAGAGGACAGGAAGTGGGAGAAGGGCAACAGTGGACTTATTTGCTTCCTGTGTGCTCAGCAGTCCCAGTAGGAGGATTTGTGATGCTATCAAGGCTATGATTAGTCACATGTGCACATCTTGCCAGAATTGTGCACCACTTTGGTATTGCTCAGAATGACTTGCAATTTGGAATGGAGGGAGTATCAGGTATACTCCCTCTGTTCCAAATTATAAGATGTTTTGGCTTTTCTAGATATATTGCTTTAACTATGTATCTAGACAGTGTGTGTCTAAGTGCATAGCAAAAACAATGTATATCTAGAAAAGCCAAAACATCTTATAATTTGGAATGGATGGAGTAGTAGAGTTGAAGGAATGAGGGTTCCTCACAATCTGATACATATCAAATGATGAACAAGTGGTTGTTTCTTTAGTACACCTGTTTACATAAATCCTCGATTTTTTTGGTAGTATTTTATAGCAGCCAGTCAGTCATTCTTTGTACCCAAACACCCCACAGTCCTATGTATAACAAATTTACTAGAGTCATACCACTTGCAATCTTTTATGAATCCACTGAAATAGCATTACATGATAGAAGTCATTTAGTACAAGAGAAATAGCATTTTAGATGATAGAAGTCATTCAGTACAGGAGAGTATGTTTGCAACAGAGATGATGTGCCTTTATTGTTGTTTTTTTGCAGGGATTTTAGCATGCTTATTTTTGTAGTAGATTAACCAGTTTTGCAAGCCTTTTTTCTTCTGAACCAAGCCAGAAAGGTGGTTTGCGCTGTATATAGTCTGTTGACCTGATTTACGAAGTTACTAAGCTTCTAGCAGGAAGGTAGCACGATCTTGTGGATTATGAAACAGTTATATTTATTTTAACAAGAGATTAAACATTCTGTATAAATGAAGAAGGTAGGATGTTAAGATCTAGAAATAGTTAATTAGTTGCTTCTGTATGGATTTACAATATTCAAGCAAGTTCAGATGCCTCATCACAATTCATAAATTGGCTATTTTTATTCCAAAATTGTTTTTTCCCACAGCTGCTGTACCTAAACTTTACACTAAATTTATGGTTGATGGCTTAAATGCAGAATTCATGGGTGTAGGCCACGAAGACGCAAATACACGGGTAAGGTAAATGCCATTTCCTTACTTCTTCCAATTTCTAATCTCTATGTGACTCTAGAGCAAAAAAAAAATACTCATGCTTCATGGTTGGTGTGAAAACAGAAGCTTTAGAATATTTCTCATGTAGTGTGAAGACCTAAAATAGTTTATTGCATTGGCTTCTATGTTTTTCTACAAAATGTCATCTACCACATCAATTATTTCATGTTTACAATTCTGAATAGTTTTACCATGTTAAATATAAAAAGAGCTCCAATCATTCAGTTCTTGTGCATGACATATCTACATTAAACTCATAATATTGTTTCCATGCAAATATTAAACATATTTTTTACCTGCGTCTTAACCAGGTGATTTACCGGCGCGCGCGATGGCGCGCGTGATGGACTAGTTCACATAAATGTATTCGTAGTTCATGTGTTGAGGTATGATTGGAATTCTAACTTATGGTCCAGAACGTCCAGAGGGTCCATGGTTCGGGTTACATTAATTAGCGAATTTGTTTTCGTATTGGATTGCAATGTAACCGTCCTATAAATACATCTCGTAAGCCACAAATAAAGAGATGAGACGACTCATTGTATTCCCTGTGTTTTGTAAAATCTCCTTATATAATGAAAATCGACGGTTGGTGCTCATGATTTTTCCCACAAGGGTTTTTCACGTAAAACTTTGTGTCTCGGGTTCTATCTTTATTTGCTAACAGTATCGAAAGCACTTTATATATGTTAGGTTTAGTCCCACATCAGTAAGATGGGGGAGCACAACATATAAGGCGGGGGCAGTCCTCACCTATCAGACTAGTCTTTTGGGTTGAGTTAGGCCTAAAGTCTGGGTATGTTGTGAGCTCCGGTGGACCTAGGCCTGAGGGGCGCCGGCTCGTGGGTTATAGCAAGTTAGGCTGGATTCTGCTGCGCACTCCCACATCGGTAATTGATGGTGGAGGAGCACAACATATAAGGCGGGGGCAGTTCTCACTTATCAGACTAGTCTTTTGAGTTGAAGTTAGGCCTAAGGCCTGGGTATGTTGTGAGCTCTGGTGGACCTGGACCCGAGGCACGCCGGCTCATGGGTTATAGCGAGCTGGGCCGGATTCTGCTGCGCACTCTAACAGTATAAATTAGTTTGAAGTTAGCGGACACCAATATAAAGATACACTAGAGCATCTCCAGGTGTTTCATATAATTCACTTGCCAAACTACGAGTTTACCAAAGTTGACAAAATAAGTAGCAACCTTTGCCCCCATCCACTTGAGCTAAACAGCAGTGGTTGTAGCTGTTGGAAATAATAGCAATTTAGTGACCTATAGATTAATTTCGACAATGAGAAAAAGAACAACAGCATGTATCATAAATGTGTGATTTAACACTAGCACTATGACCTGAGGCAAATTCGAACTCTCTAGTGCTAGTAGCAGTAGAAATATAAGAACGAACAACAGCGAAAGAATAGATATTCTTACAGCGGGGTTGTCGGCGCTAGCAGTAGCGCAAAAGAAGACGAAGCAGACCGTCAATGAAGATCGGCGAACACTAGGCGTAGAGGGAAGAAGACGTCCAACGAGCAATCGCGACGGCGCTTCCCAAAAACCTGATACGCCCCCTACCCCGTGTAGGGACACGAGGAGACGTAGGCTTCGGAGACCTGCTCTCCCGGGGCCGATGTCAAGTCGGTGGTA